TGTAAACAGTTTTGTTTTCTTGAAAATTGTTTTGAAAATGTTTTCTATACCCTATTGGAAACAATCCTCTTAGTTTAATTAGGAAATCCAGATTTTTTTGAGTACTTTAAAATTACAGATTTTCGAGAGGATAGTGTTGTTATTATTATTATTATTATTATTATTATTATTATTATTATTATTATTATTATTATTATTTTTGTCAATGTTATCCTGTGTCACACCCATGTTTACACCAGTGTTTTTTTATCTGATGTGGCAGTATAAGGTATTATATAATTGTTACACTGTCAAGACAAATGGAATACAGGCAGACGTTTGACACAATAGGGAATTTCCGTTATACTAGGCCAAAAGAATGTACAGTGATCTCAAGTCGCACTCACTTAATCTATGAACACTAGTAGAAACTCTGTGGCATAATTTAGGAAGCTTTTTTCATCACCTTTGCTTTCAAAGTAGCCCGTTCATACCAAAACCAACGATTCGGCCTACATCTAATAAGGAGAAAATACGAAGATAAATATCTGATTTATACCCGCAGAGTTCACCTTCACCTCTCATACACATATTTACAGCAGTACAAGGTATTTTATAGCAAGCCTGTTCACATTTATTTTATCATTTACAACTATATACAGCTGCATACCTTATGTACAAGTTTCACAATTTAAAACTATAGTTTATTATTACACAACATAACAATTATAAGGGAAGAACATGGTGTACACGGAATAGGTTTCATGACATGGTTCCAGTGTTTTGGTTGGCCGATACAAACTTAATAGTATTAACTATATAGACACCTTATACAAAAAATGAATATTTTACAGTACTATATTTATATCCTTTTATAAAGTACAATAATATTGTTATCATTGCTGTCTACGCTCGTTTTAATTTGTTTTGGTTTCATAGCAAACTCAACAATGAAACCCAAAAAGCTTTGAATGTATGACAGAAGATTTTATGGCATACAACAATCACTCTCATCAATAATTATTCAAACTTATTTTACCTATTAATAGAATAAATAAATAAATTATATTTCCAATAACTATCACAACCTTCACAATCGATAAATCATTAAACCCCATATAAACACATGAAAATAACAGTTATATACCACTGCATCCGCTCGAAAAAAAAATTCGCTCGAATTCGCTCGAATTGGCCTTCGCTCGAAGTGGCATCCGCTCAAATTGACTGGTTCCTAGGCTGGGACATGAAAGGTTGTTGTTTGTTGTTATTTCGAAATTCGCGACGTCATCAACGAGTACAATACATTCAATCCCGTAACATGATTGGTCTATTTTTTTCTAATTTGCATAATGAATTTTTCCAACATTTTTGTCTATTTAAAAAAAAGTGTGTAAGTTATCGAGATGGTAACAATCATAAATCGATTATAAATTTAATTATATATTTTTAGACAAAAAATAAACCCTCTTGGCCCACGGCCCATTTTTTTGACACCATGACCATGCGTAATATTAACCTGTAGTGTATATATACGAAGAATTTTTTCTAGTAGGTTGACTAACAGGTACTTGGTGTGGTACTAGGTTTATTGCATTTATGGCTTAGGGGCCGTGGTTTACCTCCCACCGTTTAGTCATGCTGGATCAGGGGTAGTAAACTCAGCGATCGTGGGTTCGATTCCCACACGGGGCAAGTTTTTTTTTATTTATTTATTTATTTATTTAAGGTCGTGGGTTCGATTCCCACACGAGCCAGGTTTTTTTAAAAAAATTTTTAAGGCAGTTAATAATAATAGTATGAGGTGTAGGACATTGGCAGATCCAAGAATTGTAAATAGATAGAGTGGGTGAGGGGGGGGGGGGGGGGGGAGAGTTGGGGGGGGGGGGGGTGCAGACCCCCTTTTGGGAGGTAAAAAAAAGAAAAAAAAAACAAAGAAAAAGAAAAAAATGATAGCCCAGAATGCCTCAAATGTCTAGAACGCAAACATTTCGTGGGGGCATTCCCCCGAATCCCCTAGGACAGTGTTATCTCCATCGGCCCTTCCCCCTCCCTTTTGGACATCTCTGGATCCGCCCCTGTGCATAATAAAAATAAGAAAAGTTTGAACAGTATAGTTTAATAGTAAAATCTTTCTTGGTTGGTAGCTAATTCATTGAAAATCTAATATCCCACAGAAGTTCCATATATTGAAAATAGAAATTGAAAATAGAAATTGTAAAACCAAATTTAGATACTGTAATATATTGGCTGAGTGAGCTTGTCAGTCAGACATTAAGAAAAACAGCATACAAGTTCAAAAGTTCTAACTCCTTTCTCGGTAGAGATACAAAAATGATAAGCAACAGCTAAAAAGTAAACGTAAGTAAACAGCCAGAAATAGAACCAGAGCTTTCGGACAACACTAGTCCTTCCTCAGTGGCGAGTGAGTGAGGGTTGAAAAAAGCCAGATAGTATAAAGTGAGAATTTCATGCAGGCATGATTAGGAGTGCGAAAACATTGTCCAAATCGGGATTCGAACCTGTTGTCTTATTGAGCCCCTGTCCGCAAATGTCTGTCTGCAGCAAGCGTGCATTATCAAACAGTCACAGGCTACGTTCAGACTTGGAGATAAGATAAGCCAGGCTTGAATTATTAAGCCCGGCTTAACTCTGCCGGGCGTTCAGACTAACGGGTTTAGCCAGGCGAGAATTTGCATAATAATGAACCGTAACCAGGAAACGTGTTTTTAAAACATTGCTCGCGAAACGTACCTCGCTCACAGCGTACGTAATTAAATGCTGATTGGTGATTTCGTCACCCGCGAAGTCAATGCAAGACCCCCCGCAACGATTAAAGTTTGGAGATCGCATCCACTGGAATACTCTCGCTTTTATGTATACTTTTATACGGTCAATAAAGTGCGCCCTCTCTAATGAGATTAGTTTTTGTACTTCGTATTTCGCACAATGCGGTCGTTCGATTAAAGCTGAGATATGTTTGTTTCAGTGTCAAAATCTCAGTCAGAATCAGTTTTTTAACAAATTTGAAATAATTCCTATGAAATATTATATTTCACAAGTGTCAATACTAGCAACGGAAAATATCATGTCGGCCGTTTTTATGTGTGATAACAGAACCTAGATCGAGGTAAGGCTAGGCCTAGCCTAGCAGCGCTGGATAGGCTAATGTTTTCGGCGCCTACGATATTTCTTCTCACGACCTATCGCAAAATCAAAATGAAAAATTCATCCGCATTTATTTTTTGTGTGGAACACAACAAATCAAATTTCAGTCTTATTTTACATTTTTTTTTTAATTCTTAGGAATGTCTAATTTCAGTTAAACTAGCAAACCCGGTGAGTTGAGCCTGGTTTATCCACCTAGTCTGAACTAGGCCACAGTCATCATGGTCAATGAACCTTTCCGGTAAGCCCCGCCCCTTGGATATTGTTGCCAAGGTCCCACAAGATGACAATAGCCTGGTTCTCACGACAGCCCTAGTATCCGGATCGGGAGCTAACCGTTAGCGCTAACCGTTAGCACCTGCGTGAGAACGCGCGATCGGTTAGCGCTAACCGTTAGCGGTATCCAGATACGCTAACGGTTAGCAAGAGCTATCGGTTAGAAGTTGATGGCGTTTCTATCATCAACCAATTACACGTACGCGTTTACAATTTCCAGTTTCTTATTGGCCTTTGATTCGATCATCATATTGTTGGTATCCGGATCGGGATTTTCTGGCATGGACGCACGGCATCTAACGGTTAGCAGGATCCGGATCCTGCTAACCGTTAGCTGCCGTGTGAGAACATAGCCAATAGCTATGAAGAGAAATGGAGGACATATCTGCCAAACATTAGTCACTAAATCTAACTGAAAAGTGTATTAGTTTCTTTTAAAAATACAAATCTTAATAGTTAACTACTGATTTTAGAATCCGGGAGCTGTTTTCTCAGAGTTATTATTTACAAAAAGCAATAGTAAAAGTCTCCTGATAAAGTCCCCTGTGTTGAGGAAAGCCAGAGAATAAATATTATACGTAGTCTTAAAAGTGCTGTTGTCATTTCTTACATTGTTCTATAGCAGACTAACGTGACTACCCTTAATAGACAAGGGAATCAAAGTGTTGCGGCGTCAGCCTAGCAAAGTGGAAACTAACAGAGAAAGATGGACAGCTGGGAATGTCCTATTTTGAGATTCGCTAATTCAAGTGTGCAGACCTGCCAACTCACCCGATCCTGTCGGGTGTCACCCGATATCTGAACACATCTCCAGTTCTCCCGATCGAATGTAATTTTCACCCGATTTCACTGATTTTACAGGTTCCCTCCGATGTATGCATAAATGATTGATTATATCGTTATTATTCAATGTATTCGCCGAGATAGACAAGCAGCAATTTAATAAGTTGTTTTGCAGTAATTTTGTACCATTGATTTTATACCAATATGACTTGTCTTGACGTCTTTTTTTAGTAAATTGCATCATCTTTTGGTTAATTCTGGAAACCTCCAGATTTGTTGGTAAATCTCCAGATTTTTTAAGATTAAAAAAAAAAATCTCCAGATTTTCATGGCCCAGGGGTTGGCAGGTCTAAGTGTGCACATATTGCAATGGTCCTTTCAACTAAGCCCCGCCCCTTTTGATATTTTCGCTAAGGTTCCACAACAATTACGCCATTGTAAAAACATACGCAAACACGTGCGTTTGTAGGACAACACGTGAGTTTTTGATACAAGCACGTATTTCTGGCCCTGTTTTGATTGGTCTGTTGCAATATCGTTAAATCCCTGTCCAGACTATCAAATTTGATTTGACAAAAAGATGTGTCATGCCTTAATGTGGTCATGATGACATTACATTACCTATATAAGCACATCATGACTATATATGGTCATACGATAGGTTTTTTTCAAAGAAAATTAGACAGTGTGGAGAGAGCATTATATCCCAATCATAATTGCACTGGTCTATACACAAGTTGAATTACTGAAGATATAATGTTACTAGCATATTAGTGTATCTTTAGTTTGTAAATTTAGTTATTAATCAACCAATCTTTATGCGCATTTGGTGTTTTTAAGACCTCTGCAAGCGTTGTCCAAAACTTAGCTCTGTCTTCTTCTTCATCTGGCCATTTGAGATACGTTTTTGTTTGCATTAACATACGTAGAAAGTTGGGCATGTGGACCACATCAACATCCTCCAGCAGAACGATCAGAATGCTGTCTTCATTGGCATCAAACATTTTAGTTCTTGCCATCTCCACCTCGAAGAAACACCATTCACTGGCGATGAACGACTTGGTGACAATTAATAATGTTTTATGACTGCTCTTGACAGAATCAATGATGTTATTGAAGATGGTATCACCAGCAGTAAAGTCTCTATAGTCAAGACAAAGTTTGAAGTTATGAAGGGCTCCTTCTAGCTTTGGCTGCAGCACATGTATCACCCAATCTAAATCTTCATGGCTGTACGATACGTAAACATCAAAGCGGATGTTGACTCCATCAAGGGGAGGTAGCCCCCCATCTGCAAGCCTCTGGTATTGTTTACGAAGAAGATGCCGCTGATAAAGATACCTGGAAAAAATGGAAGAAGAAATTAAATTTGGTTGACGATTTTGTTCTGTAACATGAAATTTTTTTTTCTCTCTTTTGTGGAGTCATACCTCATTTATTTTTTCCTTCATTTCCTTCATTACCAGCAATTCACTAAAAGCTTAAATAAATATATATATATATTATCGAAAATTTATTATTTATCCTAAATTTGTACTTTTTTTATTTCCTTTACATTAAACAGCAAGTAGACTCGCTACTTACAAGATGAAAATATGTTTTATAAACTAAGTCTCTTGCTGAGGCCTAGGGAGTGCAGTTGATTTTAGTTGTGAGAAAAAAAATCATTCATATAGTAACTAAAATCATTTGTTTTTCAGTGGTATCTATTATATATATAAGATGTGTATAAGAGACAGAAATGGAGGACATATCTGCCAAACATTAGTCACTAAATCTAACAAAATTCAAAAATTCAAAATTTCATAAAAAGCATTAACCATGGCAGCCAAAAAGGCTGAATTACGAATTATGTTACAACATCAAAATAGGATATTTACATCCATAACATAAAATAGTTTAGATAAAGGACAAGAGAAAAGTACAGGATTATAAATAACTACTTGTAGCAATTGTTTGTTATTGTTATAATTATTATATAATTATTAATGATTGCTACAGTAATTATTATTATTATACTTATTATAATTATTATTATCAAATAATTGAATTTATTACATCAAAACTATTAATAAAAAGGATTACGAATAACGCTTAACATCAATAATATCAAAAAGCATGAAACAAATCAGACATAATAGGACATTTACATAAAAATTACAGAAAAAAAGGTTTTACAAATTCACACCACAAAACACATTCAGAAAGAAAAAAGAAGCGGTAAAAAAGGCAACATTCAAAATAAAAGAAATGTAACAATGCACAATCAACCAACAGTCAAATTTTAAAAATATGAAAGTAGTCAACAATGCCAAAAAGCTTATATCATCCATGGTTCTAGACTGGTTTCCCCCGGACATTTTTCCCCCGGACATTTTTCTCCCGGACACTTTCCCCCGGTATTTACCCCCGGAAATTTGCCACACACCTCTGGACTGTTGCCCCTCTCCCCAGGACTTCTCATGATTTCAATTATACATTTTAATTTAAAATACATTTTAATTTAAAATACATTTTAATTTTTTTGTAATTTTACTTAATTTTAAGGAAGTAGATATTCCTACGATATTCATTAGTGCAATAAGATAGAAAGGCTGATTGGTAAGAACTAATTTTTTTCCAGGTGTTCTTATTTTTTGTCAATTTCAATTTTAAAATATTCTTATTTTATTCATATTTTTTCACCTATTTTAAACATACAAATTTATTACTTTACAGCAGTATATTACTGTACTAGAATAATACCATAAAACTTCCTCCGTGGTCACACCTACTGCAAAAATAAGGACACGATTTGTTGGTTTTCATTTTTTTTTTTTTTAAACCTCAATTGATATTTTACCTCAGCATCAATTTTCAGCCTGAGTGTTCTTATAATATATGTTCTTATAAAAGAAGATGTGTAATATAGTATAGAGAAAATCAGGGCACCCATGACCATTTTTGGGGACCAAGGTTTTCCTACTGATTTAGCATCACCAGGGTATGAATTTAAAAATGAGCTTGAGGGAACCTCTAGAAAAAGGGCGGAACATACTTTTTGACGGCCATTTTTAAAATGCCTTTTTGAGATTCAAGATGGCTGCCATAAAAATTGGCAAATCCATGGGAATGAGGTGCATCTTATCTTTTACTGCGTTTCTCCACAGAATGCATATTATACAGATTTTTAGCAAGGTGTGTATGTGAAAGTGACGAAAATCAGTAGGCAAATATCGGAAGAGATGATCCTGTTAATACATTATAGTACATTTTTTTCTGTCGTCTGAATCAGTTTTTTTTTTCTTTGATTTTAATTCAGTCAATATTATTTTTGTGTTTGCCCTTGGGCAAAACACTTAACCTTATGTTTTCCTCTCTTAATCCAGAAGTATAAATGGGTACCTGGTAGGAGGTGAATAATTCGGATTTATATTTATAGTGATGAATTACACACATAACTACTAGTCTGGGTGCAGTAGGAAATTAGCGGGAAAAAGTATAGGAAAATTTATTTTTGGTTTTTCTGAATCAGTATAGCATATAGTGTCTCAGAAAAAAATCCACATTCTTTGAGCTTGGGCAAATTAATGAACTATTACAATATATAAACCCACTAGAAAAAGAAAAAGTGAAATTTTGCTCTGAAAGACTGAACGATCCCATTTCTGGACTCGGATCAGGGTAATGGAAGAAAATTATGGCATTATTTTATTTTTTGCTATAAATGTGAAAATTGGTTATTTTTGTTATAATTATTATTACTATTGTTCTCAATGTACAAAATACAATCTCATTAAAGCAATGTATAATTATAGAATATATATATATATATTATTATTTTAATAGCTGTATTATGCTTATTTATTATTATTGAAATCATGATTAATATTATTATTGTATATTATATATTACTGTATTGTATTCTTGTTATTTAAAAATTATATTTTATTATTAAGATGAATTACATGATTGTTAGTACTGATATATAATAATATTAGTATCACCACTATTTACATCATTACAGTATTATCATCATCCGTCATCATCATACTCATCCTATTCGTCATCTTCATCATCATTCTCATTGTTGTCATCATCACTATCACTAACATCCTTACTGTCATTGATCGTTGTAATCATCATCACCATCATCATCACCACATCATACTTATCTATTATCATCCATCGTCATCGTCCTCATCTTCATCATCATCCTCATCAATCATCTATTTTCGTTATCATCATCCTCATAATCTTCATCCTCCTAATCCTTCATCATTTTCTTCATCATCATCCTCATCATCATATTCATCCTCATCTATCATCATCCACATCATCATCAATGCCGTAGCCAGCTATTGGGACAGTTGGGACATTCAACACCATTTTTCTAAATGGTCCACAAAAGGTAGGTCCACATTTTTAAAAATGGGTCCAAATCATGTAATTTTATGAATAAAATGGGTTCACGTCTTGAAAAATGGGTCCCGATGTCTCATATTTAGCTTAAAATGGGTAAAATATAAGAAAATTGGTCCAGATACTTCATATTTTTGCGTAAAATGGGTCCACATTGTTTGAATTTACACGTAAAGTGGGTCAACTCTGATGTTGTCCCGCACAGTTTGAAAATCCTGGCTATGGCATTGATCCTCATCCATCATCGTCAACATCATCACCATCCTTACCAATCATTGTAAATATCATCGACATCACCTTTATCCTACTAATCATCCTCCTATATCATTTTTTATTTTATTTCATCAAAGTCCAACAGTGACCAATGTCACCCTTTACAGGATTGAATAATAAAATCTATATATATATATGTATATATATATTTACTCATTATCTCGCTCCCATTATATATCATTATCCCCATGTCTCCAATATTGTTTATCTCATTTAATCACCCTCCTTTATTTATTGCCGACTGTTTATTGTTTTACATTGGATCTGGTATTTGCCAACTTTTGTAATCAGTTACGCTGATGAAGTTGAGGACAGGAAGAAATGTTTCGTTTAGTGAATAAATTATATTGTGTTCTACTGTCTAACTCAACTTTTCCGCATCATTATTTTCTGTTTTATATATAGGCCCTATATATATATCTGTGGTGAAAAACCATATGAATGTGAACATTGTGGAAAGAAGTTTAATCAAAGTAGTCAATTAGTAAGACATCTAAGGATACATACGGGAGAGACACCATACGAATGTGAACATTGTGGAGAGATGTTTCTGTCTCTTATACACATCTAGATGTGTATAAGAGACAGGGAGAAGGATACAGAAAGAGAAAAATGAACTGCAAAATTTCCATCGTAGATTGAATTCATACATTTAAAAAGAAAAATTAAATAAAAAATTTACGGCGGTCAGCTAATGGGGTTAGGAAGTCTTTACTAACAAAACCAAATTTGCGAGAATAAAATCTAAAAAAACTTATTTTGAACACGTTGCGTTCATCATCATCTTCATCATCATCATCATCCTTCATCATCCTTATCCTCATCATCATCAACCTCATCCTTATCCTCCTTATCATCACTTATCATCATTCACCATCATCATCCTCATTATCCTCATCATTGTCATTGTCATTATCATCATCATTCTCATTACAATCATCATCTATCATCATCCATCATCATCATCCTTGTCCTCGTGGGGCCAGCGGGGGGCCAGGGCCCCCCGTCGGGGAGAGCTGTCTCCCCCCCCCCCCCCCGCGCCCCCGTCGGGGAGAAAAAGCACAATTCGTCGGGGAGAAAAAAAATTATATGTATTTTCTACATATTAGTAGACTCTAAAATCGATTAAATAAGCCTTTGAAACCCCTAAATTGTCAAACTTTTCGGGGGCTTCGCCCCCAGGACCACTTTCGGAACCTTTTAATCGAAGCTCGACCACGTCCACTTTTCTTTCGTCGGCGAAATCTGACTCCTCGTCAGGGCAAATCTGACCCCCCGTCGGGGACCTCGGCCCTCCCCCCTCGTCGGGCAAATCCTGGCGCCACCCCTGATCCTTATTAATCATCATTATCACCATTCATCCTCATTCTCGTCATCATTCTTATCCTCATCATCATCCTCTTTATCATCATCAATCATCATCCTTATCATGAGGATGATGATGATGAGGAGGAGGAGGACGACAAGCATGAGGATGAGGGGCAGAGGGATGTTTCTCATCACTCATCATCATTAACCTCCTCAACATCATTCTCATCAATCATAATCATCATCATTATTACAATTATCCTCATCAACAACCATTATCATTAATCATTATCATCCTTATCTTCATCATCATCAAACTCATCATCCTAATCCTCCTCCTTATTATCATCATTATCTTC